GAGAGAGAGAGAGAGAGAGAGAGAGAGAGAGAGAGAGAGAGAGAGAGAGAGAGAGAGAGAGAGAGAGAGAGAGAGAGAGAGAGAGAGAAGTTGAAAGCACATTTACAAAGCTGAAATCACACCAATCAATCTCTTCTCTGTCCAGTCCTCTTCTTGCGCGATGGCGCCTCAGAGTCTGACCACTTATGTGTGATTGTCATCCATCACCAAAAAGTCCCACTTCTCATTGCTGCCCTCTCTCCCATCGTCCTCCCAGTACCTGCACGCCCCTCTCACAGCCAGTGCAGCTATAGCTGCCGCTGGTAGGGCTGCTGTGTCGTGGCAGCTCTCGCCCAGCTAGTCACTGCACTGGGCCCAGATGGCTTCTGCTTCGCTATTTTTCGTGCATTTAGCCAGCATTTATGTGTAAGTACAGAAGTGTCCCTCCCCTCAGCAGCCGCCTCGAATGCTTTTGCCAATTCTAGGAGGTTGTGGTTGCATCATTGAGTGGTTGGGCTGGGCAGCTTTCACCACCTTCCATATGCCTGGCGGCTGGGCTGTTACTTCATTGCCCCGGCGGTTACTTTTGACTGCCTGGGCCTTCCGTTAGGACCCGGGCGTTATCATACACATATGGTTAATAGGTGGTGTCATTTTCGCCAAAGTTTTCACCGAAACTGCCATATTTCCGAAATTTGTGGCCTTCCATTAACCATCTCTCAGTATGTCTGGCTGTTGCTTAGGGCCAGGTCTGCTCAATGCGCGGCGGTCCCTGCTGGGTGACGGCAAGGCCAAGGGACCTTGCAGTGTTGCTATTAACTTTATTATTTCCCTTTTCATTTTCTTTTTCTTTTCGTTTTTTCTTTGATGCTTTCATTTTTTCCTTCTTGTCGTCATTTCACTACGCTAGCACTTTCCCTTTTTATGACATTCAGTGTGAAGAGGAGGATTGTTTCTAAGTAGGTAGGAGTGTGGAGGCATCCCAGATTAGCTAAAGGTTCACAACTTCACACTCTCAGCTGCATGGAATAGATAGGCTGTGACATTGGAGGAGCAAAGCATCACAATATGAGTTAACTTATAATACTGCCATGAGGCTGAAGTTCTGCGATATCAATTTGAGCGAATGATAACATTGCAGACTGTCTAGTATCTACACACCTGCAGAAAGGTTGCCTCCTCTTTCAATTTTTTTTATTTTTTTTTTAGTAATTTAGTAAAATTTACTCATTTATTTATTAATTTATTGATTGATTTATGTATTTTTAATT